ACCATAGATATAAAGATTTGGTTTTAAAGTTTGGTTGTACCTGTAGAAAACTTATTTCAAACAGGAAAGCACATCCTCATTTTTATGAAGATGATGTTTACCGTGCCCAGAAATTTAGAAAAAATCCTGGTAAACTTAATGACCCTTTAATCAAACTTATTCTAAAAGGTTACCAATTCAACACTGTAATTAGATCTTTTAATATTGTATTTATTGGTATAAGTATTGATTTTGTTATCAGTAAATTAAAAACAAACTAAATATTATTGTTATATACATATGCACTTTCATGGATCTACAATCTGTAGATTCCTATATCTTGGCATGTTTTTCTCTGACTGTTTATGACGTCTTTAAACTAAATCCATTGGATGTGTACTGATTGATAATTTAGTCTTAGATGCATGATTTTTTTTATTAGTTGTTATTGGCTTAGAACTAGCTGTCAGTAACTGGGAGTACTCTCAGATCTGTATTTAGTGTCTTTTTGTTGTTGGGATATACAAGTACCCGGCCACGGCCACTCTGTGTTTTTGTTAGATGTATTTCTATTTGTATCCATCTGCTGAGTTAAGCCTTTTTAAACTGATTTTTATAGTTCATTCTTATGTTGTATTGTTACACCACTGTCCCAGGTTAGGGGAGGGTTGGGATCCATCTAACATGTTTAACCCCGCCACATTCTGTATGTATGTGCCTATCCCAAATCAGGAGCCTGTAATTCAGTGGTTGTCATTTGTTGCTGTGTTACATATTTGTTTTTCATTAATTTTTTTGTACATCAATTAGGCCGTTAGTTTTCTCGTTTGAACTGTTTTACATTTGTGATTTCAGGGCCTTTTATAGCTGACTATGCGGTATGCACTTTGCTCATTGTTGAAGGCCGTACAGTGACCTATAGCTGCTAATTTCTGTGTCATTTGGTCTCTTGTGAAAAGTTGTCTCCTTGGCAATCATACCACAGATCTTCTTTTTAATATTCATCCAAAAATAATATGCACATCTGCATATCATGCAACATGTGCAAAAGCCATATATATGTAACACTCAGAAACGTGTCCTTCACCCCAAACGTGTCCGATTCTCCCAAATGTGTCCACATGACGTCACTGAACTGCAAGACAAGTCTTAATGTAAAAGGTGCCAAAGCGTGTCATTTGTAGAAATGATTAAAATCCCAACTAGTGTTAATCCCAAATAACCGTAACAATTTAAGCCTAATCCTAAATTCCCGGTATGATGATAAAACCTATCTTCAGTATTTTTTGTTAACATGATGTCGTTCAAATAATGCATGAAATATTTGGCACTGGACATTATGTCTCTTGTTCATGTGTCTTTAGCGATGCTCGAAACCTAAAATTTATTAAATAAAATGCTCCGCTGGGGCGCAGCTTGATACGACCGCAGAGGTCGAACCCTGAACAGTTGGGGCAAGTATGGACACAACATTCAAGCTTGATACAGCACTGAATTTGGATTGTAATTAAATATTTGACACAGCATAGGTTTCTGACACAGAATGAAAGTGGTCTAAGAACTTAAAAATTTTCAATTTACCTATTCATACATGTGATGGACTGTGAAACTCAGATCAGGAGATTGGGAAATTTTGGTCAGGAGATTAGGACTCAGATCAGGAGGTTTTTAATCGACATTAATTTTGTTGTAAATGTAACCGTGTGCTGTAAAAATGGTCTTTTAAAGTGTGTTTTCTTCAACTTTCCAACCAATTTATTATGTTTATAGTACCCTTGTACTTATAAAGTTTCTCCATCTTTATATTCTACATGTTCAATCTAACATTGTTTTTTTCCAGTACGTTCTTTAAATTTTTTACTTCATATTCTATAAAACAATCATTGCAACCAGAACATTTGTTTAGCTGTCTGCAAATAGTTTTTATTTTTTTTTTTTCTCTTGCAAATAGTTTTTATTTGCAAACTCAGAAATTCATTCTATCTGTAAAGTTAGGGTCATAGTTATTATATAAATTTCAATTTAAGCTTTAAAAGGAAGTATAGAATCCTCAAATAATTTTCAAATTATTATTTTTTTATTTGTCCTAAGACATTTAAAATCATTTAATAACCATCCTTTTATGATTATTTGTTCAATTTATATTTTATTTATATTCTTTTAAAAATTTTCATTATTAAAAGGAAAGTAACTTAAAACAGGATAAATCAAGGGAAGTAACCCAATAAATACACAGTTTTTGTTACACAACGGCAGTTAGCCTGAGGTAAAAATCGTTGCTTACCAGTATGTTTGACACCCAAGCTGACAAGTGAAGCCATATAATTATGCATGTTAATTGATTTACAGGTAAAATATAACTTCAGGTAATGTCAGTTACACCAGATGCCTGAGATGTTATGTTGGGCAGAAATTTTTCATTCATGAAAAATTTCATACACGGGATTTTTTCAACGGGAGGTCGGGAGGAGACCCCTGAAAACGGGATTATTGTACTCCCGTCGGGAGGTTCACATGTATGCCTATTCAAACCATATCATTATTATTTGCTTTTATATATAAATCAGAAATAACCAATTTAAAATGGAAAATGTTAAAGAAAAAAAAGGAAAAAAAAAATCCCCCCCCCAATTTTTTGAACCCCCTTATGATTCATCGCCCCCAAACTCAATCCCAGCTTTCCCTTTGTGGTATGGTACCTTGCAGTACAATTTCAGAGAGATTCATACACTTGAACACAAGTTATTGTCTGGAAACTAGAAAAATGCATGTTTTTTGGCCCCTTTTTGGCCCCAAATTCCTAAACGTTTAGGGCAATTACCCCCAAACTCAATTCCAGCTTTCCCTTTGTGATATGGAACCTTGCAGTACAATTTCATAAAGATCCATACACTTACACACAAGTTATTGTCCTGAAACTAGAAAAATGCATGTTTTTTTTGCCCTTTTATGGCCCCTAATTACTAAAATTTTGAGGGAAAACCCCCAAAATCAATCCCAGCCTTCCCTTTGTGATATGGAACCTTGTAGTACAATTTCATAAAGATCCATACACTTACAAACAAGTTATTGTCATGAAACTAGAAAAATGCTTGTTTTTTGCCCCTTTTTGGCCCCTAATTCCTAATATTTGGAGGAAATTACCCCAAAAATCAATCCCAGTATTTCCTTTGTGATATGGAACCTTGTAGTACAATTTCATAAAGATCCATACACTTACAAACAAGTTATTGTCATGAAACTAGAAAAATGCTTGTTTTTTGCCCCTTTTTGGCCCCTAATTCCTAAAATTTGGAGACAATTACCCCCAAAATCAATCCCAGCATTCCCTTTGTGATATGGAACCTTGTGGTACAATGTCAGAGAGATCCATACACTTACACACAAGTTATGTCTGGAAGTTACAAAAATGCTTATTTTTGGCCCCTTTTGGCCCCTAATTCCTTAACTGTTAGTACCATAACCCCCAAAATCAATCCCCACCTTCCTTTTGTGGTATTGAACCTTATGGTAAAATTTCAATGAGATCCATTCACTCAAACTAAAGTTAGAGTGCGAAAACTAATGTGTATTCGGACGACGACGCCGGACGACGACGACGACGACGACGACGACGACGACGACGACGACGCCAACGTCATACCAATATACGACCACAAAAATTTTTTTGCGGTCGTATAAAAATCTGATAACCCGTGTATGATCTATGAAGAGCTTTTAAAATAGAAGAACTGTTGAAAAAAAGGGAAGTCAATTCTGCTGAAAGCCCACCATGCAATATTCGGATTAATATAAAAGACATCATTGGAGTTTATTAGTACAAAATAAATCACTTAGTAAACGATTAATTGAACTGTACTAAAATTATATGTATGTTTGCTCTAAATGAGCATGAAACACTTGCAACTGAACAATAAACAATTTCAGTCAACAGTTAATTCATATGTTACAGATTAGATTTGAAATTATGTGTCCCCCATCATAGAATTGCCGTACACGTTATTGATGTCATTTAGGACATACATTTATTTGCGCTAAAAGATGTGAGACGTTCTGGCATTTAACAATAGACATATTTTGGCGAATAACAATTGTCGGACACGTTAGGGGGTTATGAAATTGGACATGTTTGGGCAACATTGAATATTACCAGTCAGGGGACTTACTTAAATGAGTGGTTTTCTAAATCACTGATTCAAGTAACATGATGTCCATCAAGGTTGGAAGTAAGAGTTGTCTTTCTTTAATAATCACCTATTTAAGTAGTACAAATTAATCACTAGACTAAGTGATATAATTTTATTGTAGCTTTAAATATAGAATACTAATGATCCAGGGACTAATTATGCTGCTAAAATTATCAGAACCAACATCTGTGTTGATAGGATGACTGGGTCATGTCAGGTGATGACCTTGTACTAAATTTAGGATAATGACATAAAAATCACTTGTTTAAGTATCATACATTTTGTACCTCTATTTCCTTCCAAAAAATCACTTCTTTAAGTCATGTAAGTATCATTATTTTAATAACCTCCACTAATTTCAACACCCCCGAACAGTGAAATTTTGATCGCGAAAAGTAGAATTTTATTACATCATCTATAAGACGAAACCTTGAACTTTACAGGAAAAATACTCCCACTGCTGGGAAAAATCTGTTAAGAAAATATCAGTTCATTATGTAAAGCCATTTTTATAGCATTTTTTCAACTAAAATAGAATTTGCAGCTAAATGATTGCATCAAAGGCATTAAACCTTGCTGCTTAAAAGAAGCAAAAAGTTCATTTTTTTCAATTTTACTAATGAAAAGATATTATCTAAACCTACATTGTATGTGTTTAAAATTTTGGTAAAACTACAAAATCACAATTTGTGACAAAACTTCGAATTTGCTACTTAAACATGTTAAGTAAGTGATTTAAAAATCTCTTATTTCAATAAGTCCCCTGACTGATTACGGACACGTTTGGGGGGAATAGACACGTTTGGGGGAATTTCATATATATCTTTTCCATACCTTCCAAATAACTGACACATCTTGCAGAAGGACTCCAAAATGGTCAGAAACGATGCTTTATAACTATTCAGTGCATAGGCCCTGCTGACAACAAGTTTTTTTAAAGCTGCTAGAAATTCAATTCCATATGTTCGAACCTGTTCAAATGAACTGAAAAATAAATACATGTACAAATTGTTTATCTTTTGACATTAGAAAAATAAATAGATGAGCTCAATATCAATGATTAAACCTTTCATTTCATTTGTAATTTTACGGCTAAAATGAAATTAACAACATTACTGATAGCCTTTATTAAATCTATTCATACATTTTACTGTTTAACATACATGTATGAGCTGCGTTGGATAGGAATCGACTTTAAATGGAAGTGCATGCATGACATGTACAAAAAAAAAAATGATGTACATGTATGTACAATGGTATATTAAAAACTTTGATTGGTTTTGGAACATTTAAATACGAAATAAAAGATAAATTTTGGTCTGTGTTGAAGAGTTCTGATTTGGACTACATGTATGTTGGATACATTTTTTGTAGTTGCCTCATTTGCCACTGTTACCACATCTCCTTATTTTTATATTTACAGTGTAAATATTCCTATTACAATCCCCTTTCATTACATGTATGTGTCAAACATTTCTCTTGTGACCTCAAAATTTTACGAGAAAAGGTGTGATGCCAAGTAATACCAGACGAATAACGATAAGCCTTAAGGTATACATAATAAAAGACTTGTGCAATAGACGTATTTACAAATTTGTTCGGCATTCCTTAAAGTTGAACAAGTTCGCGTAAAACTTTGCAACACAATTTAGAACATTTGACGTCATCATTAAAATGTTATTGTTGCATGATGACAGAAGGTTATTCAAAAGCAGATCTAGAGCCTAACAAATTCAGCTAATTACCCAAAAGTGTAAATATGTTTACTTGATATAAACCTTGGGAGTTTCTCCAGCAGAATTTCGCAGAAGTTGTTGCAAGTCTGAGAATTTATCATAAGTAGCTTTGAAGTCAAGATCAATATCATCAAATGTCATGTCGAAATCGAGTTTTTTCTCAATATACGTAGAAGTATTTTCCATTTCCTCCGACAAGGGAGGGACATTAACTAAATCTAGTAACTCATGAGGACTGTTTATTATGGTTCGATCCCAACTAAGGTTAAGTTTACGAAGGGTATTATCAGTCCATTCACTTGTATCGTGAGGTATAAATGTTTGGCTTGAACCAGAAGATTCGCCCGTCCATTCATCTTCTGAATTTTCTCTTCGTTGTCTTTTACGTATGGAGCCTGACATTTTGTTTCTGTGACGACTTAGTAACTTTCGTACCCACAACAATCTCGTCCTTTCGGTATTCTGTTATTTTATTTTCACTTGTTCCACTCCTGCGTTTGTGCACATGTGAAGTGTCATTTTAACGCTTCTATTAAAAAGCTTATAAAGGGAATTTCAGCGTTAGTATTTTGAAAATGTCTTAATGTGTTTCTCGTCCTGAAAACACGTGAAGTATTTGCCACTGGATGTTAAATACACACCGGCTATACATTTTTGGATTGGGTTGGGTTGAGGGGGGGGGGGGGGGCTATTTACAGAATAGAGAATAATGGGCAAAAAATATGAAAGAATAGAGAAAAATTGGCCAAAAAAAAAAAAAAATAGAGAATAATGAGATGCTCAAATATATAGAATAGAGAATAATGGTCAAATTAAAGAATAGAGAAATATGGCATATTTTTTTTAAATGTGGCGGAAATGAAGGAACGCAGTCCCTGAGAGTCTAACTCACGAGTCCGCCTAGCTTTCGGTCAGTTACCAAATGTGTCAATTCTAACGGATCATGATTTACTAAAGGCAACATATTCTTAAAAGTATATTTCTGCATATCCTAGATTTTTTATATATTTTTGTTCGAATTCAGTGAATCTAAAAATGTGTATACATTACAATCTCAGTTTAAAACTATGATGTATCTGCCTTAGCTGTTCAAAGGCGACCTGGTGGATGTAAATAAACCCAAGATAGCTCAAATATAATTAACTTCAAAGAGCCACCCAAAAAGAATGACACCACTTATATGAGGGTCTGGATGGGGCCATGATTGCAGAATCGAGAATAATGGACAAAAAGTGCAGAATATGGGACTAAAAAAAAGAATAGAGAATAATAGATAGATTTAATAAATCGTAAAGAAAAATAGTTTAACGAATTAAAGAATAAATAAATAAAGATCCCACCTCCTATAAAGGCAATACGTATATATATACCACTGGACAGGGAGATTACAACGAACTATCAATCAGTTTTACTTTTATCTGATTTATTATTATAACATAAAATAACATAACATAACATAACATAACATAATATGGTACTAAATTTAGTAACACTCATATATATATTTATATATATATATAAACAAGTCTAAATTGAAAACAACGTTCAAACCTATGATTGCGTTGGATAAAAACCGCAATTTTTATACGTGTGCATGCAAAACTAATTTCTTGTTAGAGGGGTCTACATACAGCACAAACAACAATTTTCCAAAAGACCAAAAAAGTGAAAAAGTATATCTTTTACAAAACGCATTTCACTAGCAGGTCGAACAACAAATGTTCTTAAACCCTGCTGACTGCCATTGGCGATTGCCAAATAAACGGATCACAAGGTGTAATAAATGGATCTTAATATAAATTTAATACCAAACAGAAAACAATAAACTTGCAGCAAAGATGGTATACCGCAAACAAAGGTGCAAATATTTTTGTACACCATATCCGGATTTCGACAATTTATGTCTCTTCAGTAATGTTACAAATGTAGGAATCGAAACGGTATTTGGAAGGCCATATAATTTACCTCAATTTAGGATTATAGACTCTTGAATTTTGAGGAGTCAAAATAGGATGAACGGATCATATAAACCCGAAGGCAAATATAATACAAGCCCAAAAGAAAAAATATAAAGAAGTCTAAATTGAAAACAACGTTCAAACCTATGATTGCGTTGGATAAAAACCGCAATTTTTATACGTGTGCATGCAAAACTAATTTCTTGTTAGAGGGGTCTACATACAGCACAAACAACATTTTCCAAAAGACCAAAAAAGTGAAAAAGTATATTTTAACAAAACGCATTTGACTAACAGGTCGAACAACAAATGTTCTTAAACCCTGTTAACTGCCATTGGCGATTGCCAAATAAACGGATCACAAGGTGTAATAAATAGGTGGATCTTAATATAAATTTAATACCAAACAGAAAACAATAAACTTGCGGCAAAGATGGTATACCGCAAACATAGGTGCAAATATTTTTGTACACCTTATCTGGATTTCGATAATTATATATATATATATGATCATATACTAGTATATATACAATCGTGTAGCAGAACACAAGACTGGGAACATGCACTGAAACAGATGACCAATTCGTCCGTTTAGACCGAATATGGTACGAAAAGAAGACAGGGGAAAATGATACCTCTTTGTTTTACTAAATGGAAACAACAGAGACATTAGTTTATCAGAACTGTCGTCTGATATAAATAATCTTAGGATAATTATATATAACCACCACCATCTTGCAGTCGAGCTTTTTGACTTGGTCGTTGCGTATCATTGTAAGGGTCTGCATTAACGACGTTTCAATATGTGCATTCTCTTAGAAAATGTTATTTTAGCACAACATGTTTTCTTTTCTGTTATTTTATCATCGCCTAATTAAGTTAAATATTTCAACCTTACTGTAATAGAATCGTGATACACATTCAATGGTCTGGGTGGAGGGATCTGGGGGAGGGATTTATCATTCAAATTTTCATGACATTTTTCTCTATAATCCATTGCATTTTTTGCATATTATTTTTCTAATAATTATATTTTATAGCACCCCATATATTTTTTTAGCACCCCATTATTCTTTATTCTTTATTTTTTAGCCTTCTTTGTCTCCATTCTTCATCTTTTTTGTCCTTTTTGCTGCACCCTTTGACAATAATTCTCTATTCTGTAAACCCCATTCAGACCTTCCATAGAGCTTAAGAATCGTGATACATATACTGGCGGCAAAGGAAGATTTAAAAACGTGAAGGTCGTGCCTGAAGTAAACATGGTAACGTTTGAAATGTCAACGTAAATTATTAAGTCAAAGATCTTCATATTTATACAAACATTTGGTTTGGAAGATTGGCTCCACCTGTAGATACCTTATATGAGGGGCCTGATGGGTTATTTTCGTTTTTCGTGATCGGGACATTTTCGCAATCGTGATCCGTTTTTCTACAGATTTTTTTTTTATATTTTTGTGATCCGTTATCATGGAAATTTATTTTCTGTGAATCGTGATTGACTAAAAAATCAACTCGTGATGAGACCCCCCCCCCCATCAGGCCCCTCTTATATATATTGTTTTGGCGAAAGAGGTGGCGAAAAATTAAAAATTGACACAGGGGAAACCCTGCCTACACAATATTTAGTGATGCTGTTGATGGAGCCCTGAAATTAAGATACTAGTACGATGTTTGTACAATTATTGATCATCACAGCTGGTAATTGTATATTAAACCTATATTATGCCCCAGCTTAAAGTTAGAACAAACTTATTCAAAACATTTGTCAATTTAGCACTGTAGTACGATCATTGAAAATTGACTTGATCGGAAACTAAAATTGATTTGCTAATAATACATTAAAACATAACTATATATGTATTCATATAGTTATGAACTCTTCTGGTCCTACATCCTGTAGATACTAATAACTTGGCATTGCACAAAGCCATGCAATGTTTTCTTCTACTGCTGATGATGTCTTTACACGAAACCCATTGGATGTGTACTGTCTTATATTTTAGTCTTTAAAATCATGATTTACTAATTACTTGTATTTGGATTTGAAATAGATTTCAATAACTACGAGTACCACAGGCACTTGTCTCAGAAAAAAAATTTCCTATATACCTTAAAAAATAACACGTGTTCTATTATATAAGATTTTTTTTTCTGAGACAAGTGCCTGTCAGTGAGGCGAGTACTCTTATATCATTACTTGGTGTATTTTGTCTGTTCGTTATTATTTGTGCCTCGTGCCGATCTGATGAGTCTATCCTTTCCAACTGAACTGTACAGTAGTTTTCGTGTTGTGCAGTTACATTTACGCCACTGTCCCAGCTGGTTAAGGGAGAGTTGACTCGGCGCTCACAAACATTTTTTACCCTCCACATTCTATGTTTGTCCCAAGTTAAGAACTTGTATTTCAGTGGATACGTTGGTAGCTTTCTGTCACATTTTGTATTCATTTATTGTTTTATCACAATCAAAGCATTAGTTTCCTCGTTTAAATTGTTTTACATTTTGTCATGTCAGTGCCTTTTATACATGACAATACGGTATGGGTCTTGTCCATTGTTGAGGGCCATGCGCTGACCTATAGTTGCTTACATCCACGCAATTTTATCTCAATTGGATATTTGTCTCATTGGGAATCACATACCACACCTGCTTTTATCATGTTGAGAGGAATAATTAAAATACCAGTAGTTTTCCCTGCAATTGCAAAACAATATAGTTAAGGACGTTCGCTACTCTGTTTCAAAATAACAAGCTTTTTAAAAGACGGTTATAAATTGATAGTATATAATTAAAGGGACTAAAAAAAGCAGAAACGAATGAAGGGTCCGTACGTGTGCTTGTTTTTGAGATATAAGCCATTGGAAATTTGGCGGGAAATAATTCTTTGTAGACTTTTCATACATTTAACATTAGCACCCTTTTCCTTTAAAAAAAATATGAAAAAAATAATAAGGATTTTATAGGGTTTTCAAACATGGCTTTTTAAATAATATGTGATAAAATTATGAAAAGAAAAGTAGGGGTTAGTGGGGAAATTTTTTTAATGGCACCACATGGATAAAACCAGAGGATTCCGAATATATAGCAAAATCTTCAAAAATAAGGGGAGCGAACATCCTTAAAGAAGAATGTATCCTTTAAATTGTGTTTCCGATTTGGTTAATGTTATCCATCTTGACTATGAAAACGGAAAATGGCGCACAGTGTTTCCTTTTAATTATCTCATTATGCTAATCAGCAGATTAATGCTATAAAATGTAGTCAATAAGGATTTGGAGATTTGGAGAAAAAAAATCTAATTAAGATATTTTGTCTAGTAAGATAACATCAAAACTGTATCATTATGAATGGTCATGAGTCATGTGTTTAATGGCGATTCGTATCAATTGATATCGTATACTTTAAAACGTATATGCATGTACCTTGTATACTAGCAAACAGAATGTA